TTCCTCCACCCGATCCTAACGAGCAAAAGTCTTCGTTATCGCGAAGGGGGTGATAACGACGAAGGAACACGATCCACCGCGAGTAACGTTACCTTAACAACCGTTCCTGTCTCTTCGAATCACCGATGTATCTCGGCCGAGGGGTGTATATCGCGAGGAGACCTAACTGCGGGACGAAACACGAGCTAATTGACAGTGATGGAGGAACGAATTAAACGAGTCTCGCTTCCCCCTCCCTCCTCCTCGATGAAAAATCGTAGACACCTCGATGAAAAATCGTAGAAAGAGGAGATCGCTCGTTTCCCTCGATAATTTTCCCCTTCTGTTCTGAACAGAAGCCTCTCATACGAGAGAGAGATAAAAAATTTCTTCATCCATTTCATTGTGATTTTTCATTTTTGATCAACCTCGATGAATATCGAGCGAATCCTTATTCGCGTCGCGTCCCTAAAATCCCTCTCCTCTCCCTTCCTTCGAGAAACTACTTTACATATGGAAAATGGGATTTCGTTTCGTTTCGTTTCGCTTCGTTCGATTTAACTCGATCGAGAAGCGTAATTTCCCTGGTTCGATTTACCGGGACGAAATATACCTCCCCCTTCCACCCCCCCCCAAGTTCCGCAGCTGCACGGGTTAATGTTAACGCGATCGACAACGGAGCTTCGGTTTAATTGTTTATCCGAAAGCGAGGCCGGGCTCTGTCCCGTTCCTGTAATCCAATCAGCGTGGAGAGCAGAGGGGAGGGGGACTAATTTAGAAAATTGTCGGAATCCAGTGTCGATTAATCCGCCTCGGCCAACGAGTTTCCTAGAGAGGGAGCTCGTCGGCGAATTTTTTATTTTAAAATTCAATATCGTATGAATATTAAATTCAAGAGAGAGAGAGAGAGGAGAGGGAAAATAGTTACAACTTACCGATCCCCTGATAAATTCTCGAGAAAACAGAATCGAAACGCGGCCAATCATCCAACGTTTAATTAAAGTCGTCATCGTCCATCGCGTCAAGAAGCGAATCTGGAGAGGGGGGGATCCGGCGCAATTAAATTCTGTCGTTTTAAAAAGGTGTCTAATTTAAAAAGAAAAAAAAAAAAAAAAAAAGGATCGTCAAATTTTTGGCCTCCCGTCATAATCGCGAAAATCGAAGAATCGTTTTCCTCCCCCTCCAAAAGAAAAACCATCGAGCATCGCGAAAGCTTAATTGGAAGAAACGAAGGGATTGGAATCACGAGAAGAAGGGCCGTGTGCCCTTCGAACCGTCAAATCGTTTCTCTCTGCAGCTTTAACACGACTTAACCGTTTCCCCTTGTTCCGTGCGCGCACTTCAATTACACCTTCCTCCATTTTAATTGGACCACTTCGATCATCGATGCCGATTGCACACCGATTACCTGCCGATTTACCCCCTCCAACTTTCGACTTCGTCCAAATCCTCTTCGAGTTTCCTCGAATTCGTGTCATCCGTTTTTTAGTTGTATTTTATTTATTTATTTATTTACTTTTTTCCTCTTTCTCGTCGCGAAATTGATCGTTGTCTCTCATCTCGCGTTCGTACGATCGATGCAAACCTCGTCGCTTTATGCGAAAGGACACGATCGATCGAATCGAATCATCGACTCGAACAAATCAACATTGACGAGACACGTCGGATTATTTTTTTTTTCTTTTTTTCTTTTTTTTTTTTTCACATTCCACCGAAGCATCCGGCGTTTAATCGTGGTTTTTCTACGCCGCCTGGATACCAGAAAGCATATATGAAGCGACAATATTTGCTCGATCTCACGGAGCACCTCCTCCTCCTCCTTTCGCCCCGATTTTCCGCGCGCTTGTTTGCGAAAGCAGCGAGAGAAATCCCCTCGCGATACAGCGAGCCGAGTTGGTGATATTTCGTGGCGAGGGCTACTTTACTCTTTGCCCGGTTAAAAAAATACGCGTGGCGTGGCTCGTTAATCTTTATAAGATCGAAGGGAAGGTGGTCCCCCTCCCCCTCTTTTTTTTTTCTTTCATTCTTTTTCAGAAAGGAGGCCGTGTAAATAATGGGTATACGCCTCGTCGTTTCACCCTCGTCGCTCTTCTGGGACACGGTACTCCTCGTACGCCTGCCACATCCATTAACCTATTGCCACTCTTCCCTTCCATATCCGTTCGATTCGTTCCAAAGCGTTCAAATTCTTCGCGTATCGCGAGCTTTATCTTTTATATCGCCAGAGACGCTTCTTTCTGAATTTTTAAACGGGATTAAAAAACGATTCAAAGTCTCTCTCTCTCTCTCTCTCTCTCTCTCTCTTTCTCTCTCTGTTGAAAATTCTTATTAGAAAATTCTTACTTCTTTATCGATCCCCATTTTTACGCGCGTGGACGAGAACCGTGCTCGAAATCTCTCCCGTCGAGGATTCGACACGTGGGACACACGAAAGGAAAGGCGTCCCATCGTGCATCCACTTACGCGTGGCAAACAATCGGCCACGGTTAGCCTGCGATTATTGATCGGATTCCCAAGCTTTCGTCGGCCGTGAAAAGTGGGCGTTGGCCGTGTCGCGTGACACGGGGGGAGAGTGGCCACGGCTGAAAGAGGGAAACATCGGTGGTAAGAATCGATTCGACCGGATATTCCACGTCGTCGAAAAGGGGATCGTACTCTGAAAGCCCGATCATGCTCGGTTCAATAGGGGACTGCGAGCTTTCAATTCCGATTCAAGAGAGCCTGCTTCGTATGTGTGTGTGTGTGTATATATATTTATATATACGCGCGTGTCGTTGTCTTGGAACGTCGTGCGTGCAACAATCACCGGCATCCACTGTCCACTGTTATTTTAATCGTCACCGCCACGCTTCGCCAAATGGGTTTCCCGTGTAGTTCGTCCAGTTTACCGCTCGTTAACTCGCCCCTTTTTCTCCTTTCTTTTTCTTTTCTTTCCTCCCTCCCGTGGCCTCCTTTCCTTCCCACGTCGCGGAGAAATTACGAACGGTCGACCCGTATCCACGAGTTTCATTCCTTGCCTCGCGATCGTTATTGAAATACGCGCATCATCCCCACACAAGGGGATCACGGTTAACGAGCCTTTTTTGTTAAACCAGCCACCCAGTTGGATATCTCGCGCGGAGGAAATGAAAAGACAAATAAATTCTTCTGCCGACTCTTCGTTTAAAAATCTTCCTTGCACCCGCCTCGTGATCGAATTATTTCACGAATTATTTCTCGTCCACTTTGAAATGTGCGTGTCTGGGTGGAAGTGGAAACGGAAAATCTTAGCTCTGAACAGTTTTTCAACAGATTTGTCTTCCCTCGACGGGGGAAATATAATAATTCCTCGATTAATTCGCCGAAGGTTAAACAAATTGGTGTAAAATATTCTGTAAAAGATGAAATTGCTTGGCGAAATTTATTCCTTCCTCGAACGCTTGCAACCGTCTCGCGTAATTCGAGCTTGGCTCCCGTTGTCGATTCGCATCCAAGTAGAATCGGGCAACAAGAATGTCGTTCCAAGGGGGGAATTCGCGTAGATGAACGAGCGCGATAATTACAGTTGGAGAAAAGTTTTCCACGCGTGGCTGTCGTGTCATTTTCACGTCACGATAAAACCGGTTCGAACCGGGTTCCGTCCGTTAATTATTGTTTCTTTTTCCCTCTGAACGCGCTCGCCTCGATCGATTTTAATTCGATTTCAGAGAAGCAAACAACGATAAAGAGATTTAATCGCATAACGTTGGCCAATTCTTGCAACTTTGCCGCTCTATAAACGCGACAATTAGGTCTCGCCTCCTTTTGCATAGAACGAGGAGAGTTTATTTTACGCGACTCGGCTAGTTTAACGCATCCTCCCCCCACCCACGTTTCCATCAAGGATCCGCGAAAAGATCCGACAGATTTTCCTGACATTCTTTTTCATCTTCGGCCTTGTCTTACTTATTGCCCACTCTCCAATCAACATTAATTCTTTCCCTCCCGATCGATCGTTTCGTCCGATCTTCAAATCCCTTTCGAGCTTCCACCGTCTCTGTCTCGTTTGCAATGCCAACCTTAAAATCGGAAGAAAGAAAGGAAAGAAAAACCCTTCTCCCCCATTTTCTTAATAAATACACCTTACAGCAAACAAAAAAATCATGTAAGAAAATGGATACCCATTCCCTTTAGTGAAATTACAACGTCGATATTCGGTTGATGATAACCGAATGCGAGGACGAGCAGCCTCGTGTGGCTGGCCGACCGATAACAAATTAATTATAGTCTGAACGGAGGGGAGGAGGAGGAGGAGGAGGAAGGAGGAGGAGGGTTTGGAACACGTATATTTAGTCTATAGACAACCGTCGATCGAGGTAATTACAGCTGAAATTCAGGGGCCGGGCTATATAAGCATGTAACACGAATGTAATAACCAAGGAGGACAATGCGGCTCCCTCCCCTCGCCCAATGGTGGGTGCGGGCCGCCTATATGCGACAGGGAGGAGGGGGCTCGGGTCGGACACAATCGCGTAATTGTAGCGCATTGATCCGATCCTGAGAAGATGACCTCGGGAGGTTGGAGAGAGAGAGAGAGAGAGAGGTTGGCGCGAGGCGAAGCTCTCGGCCCACCTCGAGACACGATTGATTGCTTGCGATCAGATTATGGCAATTAATGGCTCAAGCGCTATGCGTATCGCTCGCCACCGCCTGTAAATTAGTTCCGGTTCCGGGGCTGGGAAACACAGCCGGAATTCAACTTCTATCTAACCGCAAGTAGCGCGGACGAGCGACTCCGTCCATACGGAGATACGTGTCCGTCCCATTTCCCAACGTTCCATGAATCTCTCGATTCGAAGTGAGTAACAAACGCCGGGTGTTTCGATTCTCGTTGAGTCGAACATATTCGTATTTCGAATATGCGTTCGAGGGAGGAAAGGAATAATTATTATTATATCAAGCAAAAGTTGACGATAAATAATTAAATAACGAGGTGAGTGGAATGCAGGATCGCAATAATATGGCGTAATAACGGGTTAGATGGGAGAGGGTCGTCTACTCACAACGTCGATGAGCTGGGAGAGGCGCAGTCCCATTTTGACAGTGAGGCGATCGCTGTTGTTGCCAACGGGGCGGATGAGGCGGTTGTAGTTGGACAGCAGGTCGTCGTAGAGACGCTTCGCTTCCGAATTGGCCGAGGCACCCGGAAACGGGGCAACAAGACAGGAAATGGCCGTCGCCATCGCCAGCAATCCGCCCAACCTAGACCACCATCGCCACCAGCCTTTCCCACCGTCGTTCGACCAAGCATCCCTAAGCATCGTACGCCTTGTCCACCCCTGAAAACCATAACAATTTCACTTTCTGTGACTTAGACCATACTTTCAATCATCATATGTATATATCATCTTATCATGTATATATATTAGCTTGCTATCGATATCCAACCATCCTTTTCATCCTCCTTCACTTGATAATTTAATCGTAAATCTCATGCAAAGTTAAGTGTATATATGTAATGTATAATATAATGTGTGTGTATATATATTATATATATATATATTGGAAAAAGAAAGATAGATACGATAGATACGCTTCAATTCTTTCTCTCGACGCTCCATCGTCCGTCTCAATTTTCCTCTTTTCCCTCTACACCCTCCATAACCATCCATCACTTAGCACGCTTTATATACAATTCGTCCAGATAAAAACTCGGAAAACTCGTCGTTCTCAATCTTATTATTATTTCTTATATCTCGTTTACGGGATATTTATTATCGAATTTCTTTTCTTTTTACGCGTAATCGCAACGTAATTTCTTTCCCCTTTCATCCTCCTCGAGAGTTTCCAAGAACGAGTTATCTTTAAGGAGAGATAAGTTGGGCGGTTCCCTGATCAACAATCAGTTTCGAATAGAGGGGAGGGCGGTGGTGTCACTCTCTTTACGAGTACGTGCGCGCAAGACACGTGCTTGTCGGCGTCTCGATAATGCTTTGACGTCAACTTTTCAAGCGAATCACGGTACGGTAGCGAGGCGGTAAGTTGGTTGCCAGACGAAAGTCATTTACTAGCCGTGGAGAAGAGCGTAACCGGCCGTGAAGGAGGGCTTGAACAGGGCATTGTTGTGTCGCTGAAAGGAAGGAGGGGGAGGGGGAGGAGGAACCTCTTGAGGAACTTTTATCGCTTCGTTGCTGACCTACCTGCGGCCCATTATCAATGTACTGCCGCCTATATGCCCGGGAAAAGCTACTTTCCCGCATTATCCGGGGATTTACACTTCTCGCCGTTCCTTCCTTGATTCTGAATATAAACGAGCCCGATTCCCACGCGGCCGCCACCGATACATTTTCCATCGATCGAGATTAAAACGTTAAACGCGACGTTGCAAACAATCCTCTCGATATCATTCTGGAAAAGGAAATATCGATCGATATTTGAATAATTTCGTTGGTTAATTTTTAGAGAATTTTTAGAGATCGAATCAATACGTTGTTTATCGAAATTATTTATTAATAACGCGAGCTATTAAAGAATACACGGGAAATATATTTGTACATATAAACGTTTCGTTCGAATTCCTCGCGTAACATTTGAATAACATTTAAATACGTTTGCGCGAAACGTACTACTATCTACGAGGGTTCACGTAACATCATTTTGTATATGAAAATTTAATAATTCGTATTTCACGATCCCGTCCCGTTTTTATATTTCTACCTTTTTCTCTCTCTCTCTCTTTTTACGACGCATCGGTGTGCGTTTCTATAGAAATAACGAACGCGTAAAAATCCTTCCTTGGTGGTCGATACCACCACTTTTACGTTACGTTAGAGAGTTGGCGGATCGCGGACGATAAGATAAATCTCGCCCGATATTACCAACCCCCGTGATTCCGTTAATTACGAGGAAAATTACGTAAAAAGTATTGCGTATTAATTATCGGCTCGCAAATGAAATTTATACATTCCATTCGGCCGAGCGGGGGGATAAATATTGGCGGGGCACGGCCGGTTTCATTGATACCGCGGCCGTAAAATTACAATCGAAACGCCCGTTGAAACTGCATATCCGCAAGAACTGTCCCCGTATTTACGATTTTATGGGCCGCGGTATCGATTCCAACTCGGTTGGAAATTCGCCCAATGCATCGGATCTGCCCGCTATTCTACTCTCCAATGCGCGAAAATTATGCGTTCGAGATACGTTTTGTCCGTATCGAACAACGTGTACGTCTATTCGGTAAATAACTCTCATCTAAATTAACAAACGTTCCTCGATCAAAAAACGAACAACGCTTCGTCTTTTTCGATCCAAAAATTGTTGGTTTGTTCTTTTTTTTATTCTTTTTTTTTTTTTGTTTGTTTTCTCCTAAGGGAAAAATTCGATTCGTTTCTCGAGCGTGATATCCATAGGATAGGATAAAAGGGGGTTGCAAATTTACAAGAATCGGGCATCACGTTTAATCAACGGTTTCTATTTTAAACGCCAAGCACGCGTGCTGACATTACGTATCAACGTTCCTGTCTGTTTGACTAATGCGTCGAAACGCGCCGATTTATTGATTTTCCCGCAGTCATTTGCATTTTGCGCGTCCATCGCGAAGCGACAGTAATTACGACGTGGTACGTGCCCACCCCGTGGCATGTAAAAGTGAAACGGATCCACGGAAGTAAAAGCGGTGGATAAAGTTATTGGGATATCGTTATTATTATCGATATCGTCCAACGGCGCAAAAACGGGAAACAACAATTTAATATTCGTCAAATCTCGGACGAGTCGCGTTCCAATCGCCGCTGAATTGAAATCCCATCGAACGGATAAAAAAGGAAAGACGAGATATCTCTTAATTACACAGATAACAAGAAAAAAAACAAGGCGATCCCCCACGATCCACGTTAAACTCCTCGATAAATCCTTCCAAGTAGTATAGATCCGCGCCCCGATCGAACGGGATTTTCGTTGAAAGTCGTCTCAATTACAAAAAAAAAAAAAAAAAAAAAAAAGAAAGAAAAATGCGAACGATTTAAAAAAAAAATTAGAACGTGGAAAATATCCGATATCGCGGAAATATACATTTTTCACGACGAAACCACAGCGAAAAAAGTCGATATATAGAAGAGAAGCCCCCCCTCTCGGTCGGGAAAAAAGTTTCACCCCAAGGTTTTTATCGGTGTGGGCCGGCCGATGGACCATTTCCCCGTATTAGAAAATGAAAAATGGCGGGTGGCCAAGACCGAGTCGGGACGAGTTCCTTTATCGAGACTGTGATAACCCGAGGTCGTTATCAATCCCTTCCCCTCCACCCCTTCTTCCAATTTAATTACCGAGAAATTCCTCGCGCCCCCTTTCGTTTCGTACACGTACTTCTTCACCCTCGATCGAAGACGCGATGGACTTGCGTGGCTTCCAAGTTTATCGTCCCCTGTCAATCTCCTGGGAGGACGAGGGTGGCTGGTATCGAGTCTCTCTCGATATATATATATATATATATATATATATACTTAGGGGAATTTAACGGGGGATCATTACTCGATCCTCGGGCGACATATTCCGAGTGATTTATAACTCGGCGTCGAATGTCGAAGGTGGTTGATAGAAATAATTTAGAACGCGGCCTAAGATTTTTCATCCAGGAGCCTCTCGAAGATATCTGCTTTCGTCGATGAAGGAAAAAAATATTGTAAGGGAATTTGTATGTATTACTACTATTTCCAACGCGAAGATCGATTAATTATTCGTAGGGATTATCTTGTCTTTGCACGCGTATATATGCACGTTCTTTTTACCGAAAATAATCCATTGAAAAGGAAAAAGGGTACGGTAATCAACAAGGTTGAAGGATAACAAACAGGGTGGTGGAGTCGATTTATATACCGACCACACCGGAGTGCATAAGGAGCAGGATATAATGGATAAATCGATAATGATCGACGCGTCCATCAATCTAGATCAGTGGTTATCCCTTATATCGTGCACGGGATACGAAATAATTACGAGGATTTGCTTCAGACGGTTCGTTAAAATGGGAGAAAAAACACACGGATGGGAGAGTACGAACGTCCCGATTCGTCGAATAATAAATAAAATCGCATCGAACGGGACTCGCGATTCGAGTTTATTGGCAATTCGTCACAGTTCGCCGAGTTCCTCGTCCGCGGAAGGTCTCGTCGCGGATGACTGACGCGCCTTAATCGTCGTTCCCTCGATTAATTTCGGCCTCCAAAATTCCCTCCGCACGGAATTCGAATCGCGACCCCTCTCCCCCTTTCAATATACACACGTTTTCGAAACACGTTTCGTGAACGAGAATTCGATCGATTACATCGATTACATTGATACGTATTTTCTTTTTTTTTCTCTCTCTCTCGTTCGAGATAGATAGATAGATAGATAGATAGATAGAAGGATGGAATGTAATAACTCGACGGATATTCGCCGCCGCGTCACTCGTGAAATATTTTATAACTCGATCCGAACCGAGGATCTGGATGAAATATCTTGATTCGAGAGAGCCGTGCACGAATAACGTCGTGCGTATTGAGATCGTACGAGAGAGAGAGAGAAAGAGAGAGAGAGAGAGAGGAGGGCAGTGTGATTAAATAAAAACGGAGCGATAAAACGAAAAAATGAAAAATGAAAGGGGAAACTTGATTGAAACCAGAGGGGGGGTAAGGAGGGGGGGCCAGTGTCGAGGGAGTAGCGGCAGTAGCGGCAACAAGCAACAACGGCTAGTTAAACGTCCGGTTTATTAGATTTAGACGGGGAAACTTTGCGTGCATTTATTGAAAGGAGACGAGGCAAGAAGGGGAGGGGAGGGGAAGGAAGGAAGGAAGGCGGGATGAATGCACGTCGTCATCGTTCAGTGTCCCCGGCGCAGCTCGAGCGTTGCAACTGGGCTAATCGAATCTCGCGCCACGTACAGCCGCTAACTAAGCTTTTATACACACGTTCGGGTGGCGCATTAATTGGACCGTCTCTCTATTTCGTTTCGCTCACCGGTCTGCCTATTAGCCGTGAAAAGCCGGGAAGAAAATAAACCGTCGCCTTAACGGGGTGGAAAAAAAAGGGAGGTGAAAAACTTGCGTTGCTTCCATTCTTTTTTCTCCCTCTCCCTCTCTCTCTCTCTCTCTCTCTCTCTCTCTCTGGAAAAGAGAGAGAAAGAAGGGGGGATCTTTGAATTTCCAACGAATTTCTCTTCGAAACTCCTCCGATCCGGTGAAAATGATTTTTTTTAATCGAGAAACGTCTGACACGCGGCCAATGTACACGTAATCATCGAGGTTTCCAGTGGTGTTACGATGGGGTATCGATTGTAACGATTAACAAGCGAGGTTGGTAA